AATTGACCGTTACAACCTCGCAACCCACCTCATGCGAAAGACTACGGTTCCTCAAAAAAAAAAGAAGGCCATGAAGTGGCGCAAAATTTACCCTACACCACACCCACCAAGAGTTGTGGCAAGCAGAGCACAAGCAGACTAAAAATTGCTTACTTAGCAACAGTTCATAAAGTTCAAATAGGTCTGGATAGACATCGACGGAGACAAAATTCTACCGATATATTATTGCTTGGAAAAAGGCATAAAACTAGGCAGTACTAACCAACGCAAGTCATCAAACAAGCCCGCATACCGTTACAATGTGCTTTGATAGCAAGAATGAGATCGTAAATTCAACCACATTTATTCCAAGAATTATTGGGCACCATGTCTATACGTGAGTCCACATTTCCCACAATATTCTCTGTCGAAGTGACTGGCCATGAAGACACCAGCACCACACTCCTTATTAGGACACTCCCTCCTCAATCGATTTAGCTTACCATTGGGTTCAACCTGAAGAAATCATTGCTTAGCAGAAAACATACTTGATAGAACTTCAAAGTAGCTAGCTTAACTTTTTTCGGCTTCCTTTTGATCTTTTTGGGTGTAGTATATACCTTTTTCTTGCGTTTCTTTGCGCCGCCTAGAAGATCCACATCCAGATCCATTAGGGCAATCGCTGAGTCGCAGCAATCTTTAAGGGCTTCATCATCCTGCAAGAGAAGCCCATTAAGCGACAAGGATTGTAACGAATATGGAATGCCTTCCAACGACTCAAGGCGTCTTTTCACGTCGGAAATGTAATTGCCCTTATCGCAGAAGAAAGATAGCGTCGACCCATCGGTGCGACGCAGGAACAGCTGTACCATCACGGCAGACAATCCCAGGCGAGAAATCAACTGAACTCACCGCCATCAATAAACAATAGCGAATTAAAAAACGAGCACCAGAATAACTTAATCCTCTATTCGTATCAGATGATACAATTTTTATGCTAAAAAATTAGCACTACGCTTTACAAATTAAAGCTTTAGTGCAAAATAAGTCTCTGTTAGGAAAGAAAGTATTCTATAACTTTGCTCAGCCATACTCAAATTTAGTAAAATGTATTAATTGATTAGAAAAAAATCCTAAGGCATAATTATTATTGAAAGCATCAATTGTTAGACTGACGCTTTACTGCAAGTTTTAGTTGGCAATAAACTTGTTGTCTTTCCATATTTTGATACCAAAGGAAATCAGTGGCTTGAAGGATGTGGCATAGGTTAGCTAGCTCTGGGCTAAAAGCTGTTTGCATTTGTCTTGACAATGATCCAAGAATTACCGCCAGGTGGAATAAGGCATTAATGTGAGCTGAACATGTATTCAACGGAGCAAAAATGATTCAAGCCTGAGCTTGACCACAGGGCCAATCCACGAGTGCAAGGGGTAGAAGAATACCAAAGAGACCGCAAAACATCTAACGAACAACCACGCAGTGGTCCAGCCCTCATGGACAAAAACAAGGGTCCTTTGTTAATGCTTTGTTTATGTGACCAACCGACGTTTGGGAGCCACTTCAAGATTTGTCGGGTAATTGTACGCGTGGGTCGGTCTCCGGGACATGTTCGGATCTAGTTGCTTTGTTCGTCTTGGGATACACATATCCAACTTCACTTACTGCCTTCTTTCCCCCATTAGAAAGTCTCGGGACGCTATACTTAGTCCTTTTTAACACTGGGTGCTTAAATGTGCATGCATACAAATTCGTTAGCAATGAAGGATGAGGGGCTAAGTCTAAGAGACCCCATCTTGGATCCAACTGACTAGTGTAGTGCTTTGTTTATGCGACTACCTGACGATTGGCAGTCACTTTGGAATTTGTATAGCCCCTGCGGCTTGTTCCTCGTTGGTCGTTTTTTAAAAGTGACATAGTGTCTGGCAAAATTTGTTGCCCAACAGACACCGCTGTCTTACTGGCACCCTACTTTTGTGTTGTCAAACGTTGTCAATTAATCAACTGACTTCCGGAAAAGAAGAGTAAGAACAGGCTGAAGAGCAACGGTTCGATCGGGTTCCCTTGGTCGGGAAGTCGAAATTCCTCTTTTCACGACAACAAGGTCATAATCAAACCAACAGACAAGACTGCAAAGGAATTCTATCTTAGTGAGGGAATCCAAGATTAGTAGGCGCATTTCGGTGTTGTGCATCAGCAATCATGAGCTACACATGCGTAGGAGGAAGACTGATTCTATCGAAGTGTAATAGATGAAGATACAGGCGAAAAGGAACGTGAATTAAAGAAGACGCATTTACATTGGCGGCGGAGAATCCCTGATACCTTCACAACGAAAGGATTTAGACAGACATCTGCATTCGGTTTTACCTTATTCTCACGTTCCACCGACAGGATATTAACAGATGAAGCGATACAGCCGTGAACTATCTGGAAAACTTCCGTGCTGGAATTCCCCACACAAAATCCGTGTTTAGGTGTGGGAAATGACACCACGGTTCTCCTTACATATGGGACAGTGGCTCGCCCCGTTTTTCCTGTAATACATTTCTTTTAGATCCGAGTTCCACCATTTATTCCTGGAAGTAGTTGATGGTCAACAGATGTATGCGGTTCCGAATCTGATTGTCAGACCGAACGTAACTCCAGATCCAGTTGAAGCTGCCGAGGAGACCAGGTATGGTTCTCCAGTCTCATGCTATATGTCGACTGACGCGGATGGCTTTTGAGTGCTTTCTTGTTGTATCGAGTATGTTGTGGGGGCTAGCGCAGGAGGCTACCAAAGGGGAGCGCCAAGGACGTTGCGCAAAAGGAGAGAGGTGCAGTGTAATGCTTGGTTTATGTGGCTACTTGACGTTCGGTGGTCAGTTAGGGCTTTGTCTGACCCCTGTGCACCTGAGCCATGCTCAGACTCCAATTGCCCTGTCGTCTTCGGAATACATGCATTCAACCTCACTTATGCCTTCATCTACCCTGTAGGAAGCCTCGGGACGCTACAACCAGAAATAAATGTTTAAAAAATGTGTATATTTTATTTACTTGTTTGAAAATGTCGATGGTTGGCAATGACAGAAGGATTGGAGGTTAGTGCAGCAGCTATTCTCCTTCAGGGCCTTCTTTCCGCGCTCTTCTGGAGGAATTTGTCATTTTACAGCATTGTGCAGCTTTTCAAAAGGTTAAACGTTCGAATTGGTGCAAGAAAAACGTGGTGGTATGGCTGTAGCATCCAAAGACTCACCGCCAGGTGGAAGAAGGCATTTAGTCAAACTAAAATATATGAATTCCAGTAGGAATAGAAGGGGCCGAGTCTTAGCCTAGCCATACATGGACAAGCTAAATATCAAAGCGACCGCTAGATATCAGGTGGTCCCACAAACAAATTGTAACACTGCCCTCCTCCTCTTATGAGCTACGTCCTCGGCGCCCCTCGGCACACATCCCGCGTTAGCCATTATAGCATATCCAGTGCCACGAGGATTCACCCACAAGTCAGTCGCGCCAATACTTAGGCAACCTGGGACTGATGAACAACACTCGATCACCTCAGTAGCTTCAGCTGGATTTGGAGTTACTTTCAGCCTGACAGTCAGAATCTGAGCCACATAACTCTACTGACCATCAACCGCGTCTGGGACAAGAAGTTGGAATATTAGTCTAAAACAGGTGTTCAGCAAGGAGGATGGGATCAGACACAGTCCCGTACGTAGGGGAGTTTGGAGCAGTGTCATTTGCGAAACCTATAAGAGGATGCAGTAAGGAGGCTTCCGATGCGGATCTTTATCGGATAGTTTACGGTGTTTCTGATGTCACTTCAGATTTTAATGGCTTGTCCGTAAAGCACGGCGATGAGGTGAAGCCAAGGACCAGCCCATCCTCTTTACTACATTCAAGTATCAATGTTGAAAAGACAATACTCCGGTTCCCATTGGATGCGGACTGCAACTCCTCGTCTTCCTTGTTAAACATCTGCTTGAGACCAATTTTCCGACTGTAATATATGCGAATGGCCTGAAGTTTCCCTTTAAAAAAGAGGCAGTTAAGCAGTTAAGCGCAAAGAGGCATCCTCAGAGTGACATTGAGTCAGCGTCTCATTAATTATCCTCTATTTCCTTTTTCTGTATATGCAGAAAAATAAACCTTTAACCAACTCTCTCATGAAATCCGAGATTTAGGGACCCGAGAATAGGAAAGCAGGTCCTATGCTGGTGGCAGCGCCGGTCGACTTCCATTTTTAAAGAAGGCATGGATTTCGATGACTGGCTTATCTTTGCAAAGGCAGATCTCGAGCTCTATGATCCTGCTCGAAGACTGCCCATGCCACTTCGCGCCCTACCGTATGACCTACGCCACGATTCAATGGATGCTCCGAGGTCCTTGGCGAACTGACACTGCAACAAAAGGAACATTTTTCGACTCTAAACTTTTTCCAGTGTTTTCAGAAACCTGGGAGGAAAAATGAAGAGTTGGCAGGGAGTCTCCTACTATTAGACATTACAGGCCTTCAAAGATTGCTGCTGCCTAACGCATAGCGGCCGGTTCAAAAGGGACTTGCACCCACCGCCTTGGCAGAATAACTAGTTCACGTGAGGACAAGCAGATTGAGTCGTCTCATTGACATGGCAGTCGCCAAACTCTAGGAGTTACAATTCCCAACGGAGTTTAATATCTGTTTCCATCCGAGAACTCTCAACAGAGGGTCAACACTCGGTGGTCAAAGGTGTGCGTATCCAAGTGGTCCCCAAAACAAAGTACTCCACAATTTTCCTTGCTTTGTCTGCTTCCTTCTTCATCCCTTACTTCTGTGCAAGTACGGAACAAAATGGAAGGCCACACACTTTCCTTCTGGACTCGGAGGCAGCCCACTCGTTACTAAACTCACTAGCTTTCCCGATGATTCGTAACAAGGTCCGTATTGCTCTGCCGACTACTAAACCATGATTTGTAGGAAGAAAGGAAATATTGCTAGTAGGAGAGGCCTTTATCAGAGTCTCAAACTGGAAGGAGAGCTAGAAGGTGAATTTTGAGCTATGCTTCAAACTTGCAAGGGAAGTACTATTAGGAGCCGACTTTTTACGACTATGGACTTTGATACAGGTATGTTCACTATCCATCGATGGTCCAAGAATAAGGTACAGACTTCTCGGCCAAAGAAAGATGCTGACGGCATTTGCAGATCCCGTTTGCTGCCCTTGGCGTCCCGAGACCAATCTAAGCCATTTTTGAGTTCAACTAAAACAGGTTACCAATGGTGAGAGGAAGAAAATGCACTTGTTCCTGAAGAGTTACTCGCAAATGTTCTCCTACGAAGATGTGAAACTAAGACGAACGGACATAGTAAAACGCAAGAATAATACCGATGAGGCCAAACCGGTCTGGCAGTAGCCTAGACGCATACCATTGCCCCACCAAGACGGAGTACATCAATTGATTGACGAGAAGCTGCGCTGCAAAGCCTGATAAATCGTCTGCAACCAACTCTCTTGAAGTCTGAGGATCAGGGACCAGAGAGTAGACAGATAGTTTTTACACTGGTGGCAGCGTCGGTCAACATCCCTCCTTTTAAAGAAGGCACTGATTTCGACGACTGGCTTTTCCTTGCAAAGGCAGATCTCGAACTCAACGAGCCTGCTCGGCGAGTGCCATTGCTACTCCGCGCCTTGTCCTAAGATTCACATCAGGAAGCAATGCATGCGGGTGTCTCGCTTCCCTCAGATATGGAAGACTGTTGTGAGGTCCTTGTCAAATTGGCATCCCTCCAGAAGGAAGAGTTTATGGCCTCAGACTTTTCCATTGGCTGCAAAACCGGGAGAGAGTGATGAGGACTTTGCGGGGAGTCTCCAGGCATTAGCCAAACAGGCATTCAAGGATTTCTGT